ACCCATCATTACTACATATAACAACATCCGTCATCACTACATATAACACCATCCATCATCACTACATATAACAGTATCCATCATCACTACATATAACATCATCCATCATCACTACATATAACACCAGCCATCATCACTACATATAACACCATCCATCATCACTACATATAACACCATCCATCATCACTACAGATCGGTAAAGTAGTTTCCGAGATTCTCGTGCGGACTCACAAACACACAGACATACGTCTTTGTTTTATATATATATATATATATATATATATATATATATATATATATATATATATATATATATATATATATATATATATATATATAGATTATCATTATTTTTACACACATACACACACACACATACACACACACACACCTTTAAGATGATAGTATAATAACAGAATAAAAACTTCATCCAGCATACCTAAAGGGTTAGAGAGCACATTCAGTTCCGTTTCCGATTAAAAAATCATACACACGAAATGAAATAAGGATCATCTCCCTTGTGGGTGGTTCCCGTCAACACTTTATATCGTTGTGTACGGTAGTTGTTCCTCAACTGTACAACCACGAACGAAGTCCTTATACAGCTGGGGTCGGTACAGTTTCAAACACGAGTTAGAAAAACATTACACTTCTTCGTAACCATATATATACAGGATGATCAAAAAGTCGCTGTGCACTAAACACTACAGTTATTTACCCTATCCTACTTGCAGTAAATATTGGATATTGTTAAGGTAAATGCTGGAAGTAAACATAATTTGTATTATTTACTTTAAATATGATAAGGTATTAAACAATGAAGGTATAACAAGGTATAATTGTATAATTATGTAGGTATAATAAGGTGTATAACAAGGTATATTATATACCAAGGGAGGTCTCGATCACCCTGTACAGTATATTCTGATGATTGCTGGTGGCAATCTCTCACTGTCTTCGGAATCTTCAAGAAAGCTAATCAATTTACGGTAGACTTTCAGTGTAATTCTTTTCGTAGATTAAGCGCGTCAGTAAGATATTGTACAGTACGATCCCACAACAAATTATGAGTGGAAAATTTAACTTCTAAGCCTTTGAGAATCCATCTATATGTTGTAAGTCAAATGGACCAGTTAAATACGTTTCCGCACTAACAGTTAAAATAGAAAAAGAAAAAATAACGTAAAAAACTTTGAGAATCCATCTTTGTTTTGGAGGAGTTAAATACGTTCCCATAATAAGCAATTAAGATTGAGAAATATAACGTAAGAACCTTGAAGCATCCCGAACTTTCACGACCTGCCAATGGTCGCGTTTGTATTTGTGGGAAGAAATCTTTAATATCGAGGCCAAGAAAGCGAAGCAGCCACAACTTCTATCATAAATTCCAGACCATCGTCTCAAGCTGTCACGCATCTCCTATCGACCCACTGAAGAGATGGATAACAAAACTCGACTAAGGTTGACTGGGTGATTATAACATTAAGAGTTCACTATTTTCACCACCGGTAGTTTCTGTTCTTTTGGTTATGATTGTTATTTTGTATTGATATTATTAAAAATGTTATCGTTATTTATTATTATTGTTATTATGACTGTAATAATTGTTATTGTTGTTGTTACTGGTGTAATTATCATTTAAATATCATTATTATTATTATTATTATTATTATTATTATTATTATTAATTATTATTAATATTATTATTATTACAATTATAATTTATAATTATTATTTTCTTTACTATCACCATTATCTATGTTCTTCGTCAGTACAACAACAACAGACAACCTTACACAGCCACCGCCAGACCTCTCTCTGTTCCTTATACGAAAAGACACATTAAATAAGGTGTTAGGAGGGGCCTGTATATCTCGCACACTGCAACACACTCTTACTGACCCCCCCCCTATCCTCCTTCCTCCCTCCTCTCATTCCCTCCCTTTTACTTCCTGACTCACAGACTCTCCCCAACCAACTTTCAATTCCTGGGTTTACTTTTCTATCTCTCTTTCTCTCTCCCTCCTTCTATTTGACCCCTTCTCTCTCACTAGCTCCCTATTACTACATTGACCTTCCTTCTATCTCACTCTCCCTCCTAACTCTCACTCTCTCTCCCCCACACTACCTGACTCTCAATCTCTCACTCTCCCTCCCTCCACTCTCTCTCATACTCACACTCCCCCTCCGTACATAAGCAATGCATCAGTCTTATCAAAGTTAATAGCGAGGCATTGGTCTTTTTTCATATCCCATGGGACCCTCGCCCTCACCTCTTCCTTCTCACCTCACCTCTCACTGTATCCTCTCTCACTTCTCCCCTCTCAACATGCCCTCTCTCACTTTTCACCACATCTTCTCTCACCTCTCGCTGTACCCTCTCTCACCTCTCCCCGCTTACATCTACCGTCTCACCGTCACCTCTCACTGTAACCGTACCTTCCTGCACCTACCCACTCTCATCTTACTCCCCATCACTTCTCACTTCATTCACCTCAAATTCTCCCTCACCACTTCCCTCTTACTGTATTCTCTCTCAACTTTGTTCCGTCACTCTTCCTTACCTCCCATTTTACTCTCACACGTCTTCTTCTCATCACCTCCATCATCCTTCTCTCTACCTGTTGTTCTCTTTCTCCTCCCATACGACTCTCTTCCTCTTCTTTCCCTCCCATAAACCCCACTCTAACTTCCCTTCTCACCTCTCTCTCCCTCACACTATTACAACCATAAACACAACAAGATACGTCCTTCTTCCCCTATAAACACTATGATGTACGACGACGCCTCACATCTCAGCACGACTGGCACCCCTCCTGACACTACTGGCAACCCTCCTAACACTACTGGCACCCCTCCTAACACTACTGGCACCCCTCCTGACACTACTGGCAACCCTCCTAACACTACTGGCACCCCTCTAACACTACTGGCACCCCTCCTGACACTACTGGCACCCCTCCTCACACTACTGGCACCTCCTCACACTACTGATACCCCTCCTGACACTACTGGCACCCCTCATTGCACCCCCTCCTGACACTACTGGTACCCTCCTGACACTACTGGCACCCCTCATTGCACCCCCTCCTGACACTACTGGCACCCCTCATTGCACCCCCTCCTGACACTACTGGCCCCCTCATTGCACCCTCCTGACACTACTGGCACCCCTCATTGCACCCCTCCTGACACTACTGGCACCCCTCATTGCACCCCCTCCTGACACTACTGGCACACCCCTCCTGGGCACCCCTCATTGCACCCCCTCCTGACACTGGCACTGACACTACTCCCTCCTGACACTACTGGCACCCCTCATTGCACCCCCTCCTGACACTACACTACTGGCACCCTCATTGCACCCCATCCTGACACTACTGGCACCCCTCATTGCACCCCTCCTGACACTACTGGCACCCTCCTGACACTACTGACACCCCTCCTGACACTACTGACACCCCTCCTGAGACTACTGGCACCCCTCCTGACACTACTGGCACCCCTCCTGACACCACACCTCCTGACCTGGCACCCCTTCTGGCACTACTGGCACCCCTCCTGACACTACTGGCACCCCCCTGACACTACTGGCACCCTCCTGACACTACTGGCACCCCTCCTGAGACTACTGGCACCCCTTCTGACACTACTGGCACCCCCTCCTGACACTACTGGCACCCCTCCTGACACAACTGCACCCCACATACTGGTACCCCTCACACTGGTGCACCCTCCTGACACTACTGGCACCCCTCTGACACTACTGGTACCCCTCATTGCACCCCTCCTGACACTACTGGCACCCCTCCTGACACTACTGGTATCCCTCATTGCACCCCTCTCCTGACACTATTTGCAACTTCAGTGGGGCGGGGGGATTTGAAGGGAAACAGAGAAGCAGGGATTGTGGAGGAGAGGGAGGAGGGAGGATTGAGTGAGGAAGGTAAAAGGTGGAGGAGAGAGCACTGGGTGGAGGGAGGAGGGAGGAGGAGGAAATGGAGAGGAAGAGACAGGGGATTAGGACTTGGTGGATGGAAGAGGAGGAGGAGGGGAGGAATGGGAGGGAAAGGAGGAGGCAGGAGATTGAGACTGGGAGGAATAGAGGCAGGGGGAGGAAGGGAGGAGGAAAGGAAGAGGGAGGAGGAAAATGTATTGTGTGTGTGTGTGTGAGAGAGAAACGTGGAGGGTGACAGGGAGGGCGTGCAGGGTGTGGGGGGAACAGGAAGGGCGTGCAGTGCGTGAGGATGACAGGGAGGGAGGGTGGGGGTAATAGGGGGGCGTACAAGGTGTGACGGTGACAGGGGGGCGTGTGGGGTGTAGGTGTGACAGGGGGGCGTGTGGGGGTGATTAGAAGGCGTTAGGACGTGGACGTGCGAGGGGGAGCATTTGGGGATGACTGGATGGTATGAGGGGCGTGGAGGGGTGAGGGAGGGCGTGTGGGGGAGACAGCAAGACAGAGGGCTTGCAGGATAATCCTAAATTGAGGTGCAACAAGGTGTGGTCTGTCCTGTCACCCGACACACGGGGAGACGGGGAGAGAGGTGGGGAGATAAGGAGAGAGACAGGAAGATGGGGAGAGAGACGGGAAGATGAGGGAGATGGGGAGATCCTTGGCACTCTATGGAATCTTAACCCTTTCGATACGATGACAACTGGACCTTACACGCTGTCAATGTACTCTCTCTCTCTCTCTCTCTCTCTCTCTCTCTCTCTCTCTCTTTATCTATTGAACAGATGTTTAACTAGAAAAAATAAATTAATTGAGGTACTACTTTTTCGGGTGGAGGAAAATAGCTGTCAAGACGTCCTCCAGCCAGTGAATGTAAACAAACATGGCTGTCGTTGGTTCGTCAAGAAATCAGTTGATCTGTGTCCTTTAAGGAACTAGAGAGGAATATGGCTTCTTATGTATGATATATATAGCCGTCCTCCGATAAACATTTACCTATCTGTCCGTCCATCCATCCACTGACCCGCTTACCTAGTTTTCCATTAGTCTATCTATATATGCAGCCACTCAGTAAGCGTTCTATCAATCTAACTATCCATGTAGTGTTCCAGAAGTCTTTCTATCTATTCAAACCTTCATCCATTCATTCACTCATCTATCACATGTCCCAACGGGACGAAGAAACTGCGTTAATAGAGACCGAATATGAAAAGGACCTGTGTGTGTATGTTGACAATAAAGTGGAGTTCTCGGGCCATTTTGAGAAGAGGGTGAATCTAGGAATTTAACTAGTAGGTCTTATAAGAAGGTCGTTCAGATATCTAGACGGACCGTCTAGATATTTGAATGACCTTCTTATAAAACCTACCAGTTAAGTTCCTAGATTCTCCTTCTTCTCACAATGGCTCGAGAACTCCACTTTATTGTCAACATACACACACAGGTCCTTTTCATATTCGGTCTCTATCAATGCTCGTAGCGCTCTTCAAGAGTGAGGTGCTTCCCTGTCTGGAGTACTGTCACCCCGTCTGGTCCCGGAGATACACTAGAGACTGTCAATTGATTGAAAATGTCCAAAGGAGGGCCACCAGACTGGTGCCTGCACTACGGCACCTCAATTATCCAGAGAGATTAGAACGCCTGCAACTGCCTAGCTTATACTACAGACGAGCAGCGGATGACTTAATTGAAATTTATAAACATCTCAGAGGATTCTACTCAGTCAAGTGTCATACCTGGAACTAGCGGGTGCCCGCCCCACAAGGAATCATAGCTCAAGGTTCAAGAAGCCACAAGTCCAGAAAATTGTGAGGGCAAACATTTTCAGAGTGAGAATTGTAAAGTTTGGGAATAATCTGCCAAAGTGTTGTGACGGCACCGAATGTGAGCTCATTCAAGACCAGACTTAACCAACACTGCAGCAGGTTCAGAAATGTATCTGAACCTGCCCAGCACTTGCCAACAGTGCGTAACAGAGACGTGACCGACCGCCCAAGCGGCTAACGAGCCGATCAGTAGCGAAGAGGAGAAAAGTAAAAAAAAAAATATTCCTTTGTCCTTTCCTACCTCTATCTATTAATCCATCTCGATAGCCCTTCACCCCTTCCTCCACATATCCGCTCATCCATCCTTCCTTCCCGCTTTCTATCCATATTTCCATCCCTCCTCCACTATACATCCTCCCCTCCTTCCATACCCCCCTTCCTCCATCCCCCACTCTTCCACCCTTCCTCCGACCATCCAACCCTCCTTTCCTCCCTCCCTTTACCTACCCTTTCCCCTCTCCGCCACCAAACCCTCTCTCACTTCCTCCCACTTTCCCCCCATACATCTATCTATTCCTCTCTCCCTCCACTCACTCACCCATCCCTCTCTCCTTTCCTCTAACGTTATGCCCTCCCCTTCATTTTTCCCTCCATCCAACCTTCCTTCCCACTCCTTTCTATCAGCCCGTCTCTTCCTCCCTCCATTCATCCCACCCTCCTTCCCTCATCCACCCATCCCACCTTCCTCCCCACAGCCACCTCTCCCGCCTTCCCTCCGTCCCTCTTTTTTTTCAATGCTGCCTGTTCCTTTGGAAGGAAGGAGCCTGCGCGGGAAAAAATGTGTCAACAACCTGAATTAACATACTCAATGTATACATAGGATAGGTATTCGTCATTATCGGCTCGGTGAAAATACTAGTTGGCAACTTTTTTTTTTTACTTGGCCCCGCTCCTTTGTAACTCTGGCTTCAGGCATACACAGCATTACCACGAGATCGGTTTTCTGACCCAAATTTACGGGAGGAAGAAACGTAATAGGTTCGCCTTTTTTTCATAATTATAGTAAAGTACATATATTACGAAATATACGATGGACTTGAATCGTTGGCAGCTTCCGGAGGCCAAAGATTGGTATAAGACGTCTTGTGATAAATCTAGGTTCAGTAACTAACTGTGTGTGGTGCTCACTTTACGATCAGCTAAGTTAGGCAAAAACAAAACTTAGTTGAGTGACCAGTTGTGTAGAAGGCTTAGCAAACGAAGCGAAATCAGTGAGATTGTCTATAAAAATGTGCCCAACTAATATGCAGTTTGCCATATTTTAATTAAGCAGATTAAGTGTAATGAGTTTGTCTTGTTAGACTTTGTGATAAGCAAAGTATAGAGCCTTGGTGATAAGACTCTAGATTATATCAGAAGCTACAGCACAAGCTACCATTGCTAAAGACTGTATTATCGTGATCGCTTAAGACTCGCACCTTCACAGTTGACAAGAGGAACGAAGGGGCGGATGTGTGATTAATGTTCATTTTTTATTCATTATTAGTGGCTGTAATCGCAACTGTACTCACGAATACACTATTAAATTCATTGCTAGACAACCCCGTCAATATTACTGTTAGCTATGCAGATGACATTCTTGTACACACTGAAACTCATCGTGAAGTACAAACCACCCTGAACCATGTACAGTCAGCCTGTGAGAACCTTGGTTTCATCATCTATACTGAGAAAAGTAAGGTATCCAATAAACAAGCTGGTAACCGCAAACGTGATCTCTCC